GAGAGACCGAGCAGAGGACAATGGAGAAAGCCAACAGCATGAACCTTAGACATTCACATGCCTGGGCACACGTGCATACTCAACACGCATCCACACACATGCAGCCATGAATACAGACAGGCACACACACTACATACATGTGTCAAAAGTGAAATAAAAATAAAAGCCCAATATTTTTCCTTTTATTGAGAATAGATTTTTTTTTTCTCACAGAATATATCCTGATTGAGGCTTCCCCTCCCTCTCCTCCTCCCAGTTCCTCCCCCTTGACCCCCACGCCCCCATCCAGATCCACTCCCTTTCTGTCTCTCATTAGAAAACAAACAGGCCCGGTGGTGGTGCATGCCTTTAATTCCAGCACTCGGGAGGCAGAGCCAGGCGGATCTCTGTGAGTTCGAGGCCAGCCTGGTCTACAGAGCGAGATCCAAGACAGGCACCAAAACTACACAAAGAAACCCTGTCTTGAAAAAATAAAAAACAAAGCAAAACAAAACAAAACAAAAAAATCCACAAAAAACAAAAAACCAACCCCCCCCCAAAACAACAACAACAACAAAAGAAAACAGAAAGGTCCGATATTTTTAAAGTTTATTATATAATGTTTATCATTATCTCCTGGTCCTTTTACTGTGACTTTTCAATATATGGCATCAGTTTTATTATTGTTACTAAAATTTTTAAAAAATATTTTCCTTTGTGGGTTTTTTTGTTTGTTTTTCAAAATACGTAAACAAGTCTGCAGGATAGGCCACATGACTGTACAGCACACTGATCACTCAATGGGACAAAAGAGCACACGGTGGTCTCTCGTGGCTGTGTGGTTTTATCAATTGCTCATTTTCCCACACTGGTTTTTTTGCTCAGAACTGCCTGTTCCATTTCTGTGCTAGCCACATTCTCTCTGATCATTTTTACCTCCTTAAGGCTTCAGTAAAAGTTTTACTCATTTTTAACTTTCACGTTTCTTTGTTTTTAAAGACTTTATTTTTATTTTTAATTATGTGTATTAGTATGTGTGGGTATGTACTCATGAGTGCAACTGACCACTGAGGCCAGAAGAGGGCATCTGATCCCCTACAGGCCTTCATCCACTACCCAACCTGGTGCTGAGACCTGAACTCCTGTCTTTTGTAAAAACAGTAAGTGCTCTTAACCACTGCGTCATTTCGCCAGCCCTGGCCTCTAACTTTCTTAGAGATTTATCTGTTGCTTCTGTAACCTCATGTTTGTTCTAGGTTTGAGGTTATTTTAAAAGTCAGTTCTTTTGTGTTTATTTCTATTCTTTCTCTGCATCCCTGAAGTTTTCTTCAGATTGTATTCTTTTTGTTATTTCGTCATTTTCCTATATGAGTCATCTGTTTTGAGAACACGGCTTGCTGGCATGCTTTCGTTACTTTGGGGGAATCATTTAGAAATGATTTTATTATATTTTTATTTATTTACTTTTTGTGTGTGAGAATGTGGATGTCCAAGGATGACTTACAGGAGTTGGTTCTCTCTACCCACCATGTGGGCTCCAGAGATTGAACTCAACAAGATGGCTTGATGAGCCATCTTGCCAGCCCATGGGGATACTTTTCTGCTTGTTTTCTTTGTGTGGGATTTGACTTTAATCGGTTCGTGGTTCTCATTTTTTACATGAAATTGATTTCCATGAACTTGAGGTTTATTTGTCTGGCTTCATAGACTGAGTACTCCCCATTCTGTTGTTTGGCAATGAGCTTGACCATACAGTGACATATCTTTGGAGACTTCCTGGCTCTCTTCCCTTTCCCACTTTTATCCAGACTCTGCTCTGCTTCTATGCACCCTCTTTTGCTCAGATTTTATTTGATATCTAAGAATTTCATCCTGTTGGGCCACCTCAGCTCAGAGGTATCCATGGCTCATCGTCTCCCTCTTCCTAATCCTAAGGTGATGGTCCCATGGACATTCCCGTTTAAACTTCCTGCATGGAACTCACTGTTTCTGGGGTCAGAAGCACTCAGTTAGAATCATCTTCAGATGACAGAAATCCTAGCACTCATTGGTCATGTATATGTCAGTAAATCACGAGTACATTGCTAGCCTGATGGCATCAAGAACTGGCCCCTCCCCCTCCCACTGTGCCCGCCTGCTCTTTCACTATTTGAGAATGGCTTTTAGCTTCATGACTATGGTTTCTCCACGTCCAGTCTTCACCTCTATGTTGTAGGCAAAGAGAAGGGCAGGGAACGAAGAACAGAAGGCAAAGGGGCGTGTCCGAAATTTTCTGAAAAAGCCCCATTTAATGCCTGTGTTTCAGCCAGCATTGGTCACTTTGCCATCTTTAACTGTAGATGCAGCCAAATGAACACACACACACACACACACACACACACACACACACACACACACACACACACTAAATGTTTAAAAATTACAATGATAGAATAAATAAATCATATGAGAATTTCCTGTTTGAGAATTCAGTTTGATTTCACTGTATTTCTCCCCAAAGTTCCACGTTCATGCTGATGGTATCTGGAAGGTGAGCCTTTGGGAAATAAATAGAATTATATGAAATCATGACAGTAGGGATTCCATGATAGCATTATTAGCTTTTTTAAGAAGTGGAAGATTTTGGGGGAATAATCTCCTTGTACATTGTGAAGATGTGTCTTTGCAAAGGTGCCTTCTTATTGGTTTAATAAAAATCTAAATGGCCATTAGGTAGGCTGGAGGTATAGGCAGGACAGCTAGACACAAAGGATGCTGGGAAGAAGAAAGGAGGGTCTTCCAGGAGACACAGAAGGAGCAAGACATGCTGGAGGGACAGGTAAAGCCACAAGCCATGTGGCAATACATAGATTAATAGAAATGGGTTAATTTAAGTTGTAAGAGCTAGTTAGTAACAAGCCTAAGCTATTGAGCAAGCTTAATTAAGAAGAAGTCTCCAGTGGCTATTTGGGAGCTGGCAGGTGGGACAGAAAAACCAGTCTACAGAAGATGGACCTGAACTGGCTTGTCTCACCACATGATGTCCTCTGCCATGCTAGGCTACAGTAAAAGGCCCTCACCAGACCCTTACCAGATATCAAGCAGATGTCACCACCATGTTCATGGACTCCCAAGCATCTGAATATAAGCCATCAAAACTTATATTATTATTATTATTATTATTATTATTATTATTATTTTTTTGGTTTTTAGAGACAGGGTTTCTCTGTGTAGTTTTGGTGGCTATCCTAGTTCTCACTCTTCAGACCAGGCTGGCCTCGAACTCACAGAGAACTACCTCGAGATTAAAGGCATGCGCCCCCACCTCCCAGCAAAACTTAAATTCTTTATAAGGTATCAGTATACAGCAGCAACAGGATAAGACATTTCCTTTAGACATATAAGCTGTGGTCTTTCTGTGACTATAACCCTAAGGATAGAAGTTGAAACAACTTTGCATTAATAGAACATTGTGGGCTGTAACTCAGTTGGCAGCCTACACAAGGTCCTGGCTTTGATCCTCAGCACTGCTTAAACCAGATGTGGTGGAATATGCTTGTAATCCCAGCACTTGGGAGGTAAAGGCAGGAGGATTAGCAATTGAAGATTATCATCAGTTTCACAGGGAGTGTGAGGTCAGCCTAGGCTAGAGACCCTCCCCCTGCCCCCCCAAAAAAGGTCCTTGCTTTAGTGACATAAAAACAAGAGTTAACTAAGAGAAAAAGGAGGCTGGCTACTGAGGAGATCAGACCCCACCTCTAGGTCACTGAAATGAGACTGTGACTTGCTTATAAGCTTGTGTTATTTACGTTTTTCCTGTTGCCATGACAACCGTAGAGAGGACAGTTTGTTTGGGCTCACCATCTACAGGTACAGTCCATTGTGGCAATGAAACCAAGGAGGCAGAGCTTGAAGCCGCTGGTCACAGTGCATCCATGGTCAGGAAGCAGAGAGCAATGAACTCTGGTGTCCAGTTCCATTTCTCCTCTCTGTTTAGTCCAGGCTCTCAGTCTATGGAACGGCACCACCCACTGCTAAACTAGGTCTTCCCACCTCAACTAACCTAACCTGGCTAATCCCCCACAGGTGCGCTCCACTAACCTAGTCCAGTAACTCCCTCACAGGAGGCTTACCTCCCAAGCAATTCTAGACCATGAACAATCAATATTAATATCACAGTGCTCTGTTTTCTTCCTCACTGTTAAGTACTTGTTAAATAAGAACTAATAAGGCCTGCTTTTAAAGAAGGAAAGAGCAGATACATTAATTTTACTTCTGAAGTTAACAGCAAAATCTTAGAACCTCCCCCCCTCCTCTCTCCTCTCTCCCTCCGTCTCTCCCTGCTGCCTGTAGATCAGGATATAAACTCTTAGCAGCTGCTCCAGCGCCATGCCTCTTAGCTTACACCGTGATGATAATGGACTGGACTAACCCCCTGTAGCCCTCTGAAACTGTAAGCAAGCCCCCAATTAAATGCTCTCTTTTATAAGAGCTGCCTTGGTCATGGTGTCTCTTCACATCAATAGAACAGTGACTAAGACAGTTTATCTTGTTTTGAGTGCTCTATTTGTACCTGATTGAGGACACTACAAACCCTCTCAGTCACATCTCTGCCTTCCTGGGACTCCCAGGAATGGAGGATAAAAGCAGGGTCAGTAAAACCCCTGAACAGTCATGAGGGAAAAATCATGACCAAAAGAAGATGTGTAATTTCCAACTGCTCACTAATTCCCCCCTTTTCTCCCTTCTTTGTCAACTTGCCCTCTCTTTACCGTCCCAGAGACAATTAGGAAGCAAAACTTAAACATTCGGAAAGTTGGAAGTAGCAATAGTTAATCAAAGCATGAATGATAGAGGCTGGAGAGCAGCCTCCATGGTTAAGAGTACCCTTGCTTTCATGGAGGACCCAGCTTTGATTCCCAGCACCCACAGGGCAGCTCACAATCATCTGTTAGGTCCAGTTCCAGAGGATCCAATGCCCTCTTCTGACCTCAGTGGGTATCACACACATACATGGTGCAATACATACATGAAGGCAAAAATAGTCATACACATGGTTTATTTGTTAAAATAAATCTAAATTTAAAAAAGAAACACATGAATTATACATCCTTTAACAATTGGCTTTAGGGGCTGAGATGATGGCTCAGTCTGTAAAGTGTTTACCCTACAAGTGTGAGCTCCTGAGTGTGGTCCCCAGAACTCATTCAAGTTCAATCCCAGCATGCTTTTAATCCCATGCTGGGGAGATAAAGACAAATGGGATCCACTAGCCAGCCTGTTTAGCATAGCCTACTTGGTAAGTTCCAAGACAGGCAGCAAGTGATCTTGGCTCAGAGAGAGGGGGTGGGGAGAAGAAAATGTGAAAAGTTCCTGAGGAACAACCCAAGGTTATCCTTTGGCCTCCATGCCTCCGTGCACACAAAAATTCACAACTCATACACATGCACATGCACGATTAGCATTTAAATTTAAATTTTTTAAAAAATAAAAATTGAGCCTGTACTGAGCAGAAATGGAAGCAAGCATGGGAAACTTGAAAATAATTTGCACTGACATACGCATTCAGTTACTTAAACTCTAAAAACTCCAAGCACACATTTTAAATTTTCAAACCCCTATGCACCTCAGTGAGAATTAAATTTGGCTGTTTTTAAGGCACATGAATGCCACTCATCCAAATGCAGCTTTGTACGAATTAGTTCAGAGCCAAGGGGAAAATCCACTTTATAAGCATTTGGTACTGATTCATGGGGAGTCACATTCACTTTTCAGGGTGCTTACTCCTGGATTTCTGGTTGCTTACTCCTAGAAGGATTACTTTGATCAAGTTTCAAATCTGAAGCCACAAAAGTAAAGTGTCCGCCAATTTATAAGAGATATCAATAGTGTTCTAAACATCTGTTTGAAAGCAGTGGCCCAGTGTTTCCAAATCTATTACCTAGTACTACTTAGCATTATGAATCCTGGGTGTTTGTATGGGTAGAATTCTAACTGTGGCCTCTGAGGTATGGACTTAAAATCCTCACTTTCCAGTCAGGTGCAAAGGGCTGTAGGAGTGGGTCTTCTGGGGTATGGCACAAAGAACCAGGTCTATGAAACAAGAAGAGTGAAGAATTTCGCGCTCAAGTCTGACTATTCAGGAAGTCATACTTCTAAGATCTGCTGTGCACCTGATTTATAACTACCTGGTGATTAGAAATATTGAAAATGCTTTCATATACCTATTAGCCATTGGGATGTCTCTTTCTCAGCAAGGTCTCTGCAACAGCAAGTCACTTTCTACCGTTTCACCTGGTCTCGACCATCCAAAAAAGCAAACGACTCCTCCCCCTCAGTTCTTAAGGGGTCACATAGGCAGACAAAGCCACGCCCTAGGGCTTGTACCCCAAAGCCATTGGCTGAATGGAATGAATTCCCATCACAGTCTCCTTAGGTCTATTGCCCAGTCTTTAATCGGGTTGGCTGGTCTTCTGCTCTTGAGTTTCTGAAGTTCCTTGTGTATTCTGACCCTTAAGCCCTTGTCAGATGTATGGCTTGCAAATATTCTCCTTCTGTTGGTTATCTCTTCACTTTGCTGGGGATTTCCTTCAGTGGGGAGAGTCTGTAGTTTTATAAGAACATTTCCAAGATTTTTTTGCATATGAGACTCCTGCAAAACACATCATTAACAATCTCTTCACAAGTTCATGACCTTACATTTGGACTAGGTGTTTTGTTTTTTTGTTTGTTTTGTTTTGTTTTAGTTTACACACAGTTAACTTGGAGAGGAAAATAGACCTCCAAATGCCTTACTATAATGAATATATTTATTGTACAATTTATGAGCACTCCAGGAAATGAGATCTAACAAGGAAGCCAAAAGCAGAGAGGGACAGACTTCCCCAACCACTGAGCCACCATTGTAGAAAACACTGACAGGACCAAAAGACCAGGATAAAGATTAACGAAGAGGGGTTGGGGATTTAGCTCAGTGGTAGAGCACTTGCCTAGCAAGCACAAGGCCCTGGGTTCGGTCCTCAGCTCCGACAAAATTAAAAAAGAAGAATAATGAAGAGAAGAGATTCAGAACAGACAGAAGCTGTCAGCACAGACCAATAGTCCTGGACTGAATCATCCAAGCAGATTCAAATCAGCTCCAACACTGTCTGGGATCGACACTCCCACAGCTGCGGCCTCGGAGCCTCCCCTCCTGAGCAGTCCAGGGAATTTCTTGTTTCTTTCTCCAGTAAGTAACTGTGCTGTCCAGCCCCGGGCTTTCCTAGAAATTTTGGCTTCGTTTTCTCCTGCCTTCCACATGGAATATATATCTGAGGGAGGAAGGTCATATCATTTAACTCAACAATAAGTCATGTACAGAAAAAATACAATTTCTTGACTTGGTCTATAACTAATACAGCCCTTTATGTAAGCTCCCCAGGCACTGGCTGGCTGTAAACTATGAAGAAAATGTCCAACCTGCTTTCGCACTGAGTTCATCCCAGTATTTCACATTGGCCCTCTAGTAAATCAAATGGCTCTACCTCTCACGGAGACTTCCCTCCCTACAACAAGGCAAAGGTGTGAGCAGAGAAGGGAGAGGAAATGTCCTTGATTCAGGGATCCTCTGACCGTGACTTGTGCCTTGATTGTGGAGTACCCCATTGGTCTCTGAGGCATGGACAGCAACTGTCTTTCAGAGTTGGCTCTGGGTGACTTGGCCTTCCTTACCTTGGCTCTTGTTATGGCACATTCCCCAGCCAATGTCATAGTATCCAGGAAGCCAGTTAACATGGCCATGCACTATCAGCTTGATTTCCGGGTCACCTTACCTGTTCCAGCAGAACTCTGTTGGCCTACCAGCTCTCCATTCAACATCTGTGAGACTCAGTAAAAACCAAGTCTGCTCTTTCCTGTACACCTTGCAGTATTCCTTAGTTACTTAACATGATCCATGCTGGGATTTGTAGTTACCGACATATTTTTACACTTATTTAAATCAGTACTTGCCCATCAATATGTGAGGACATTCTGCTCCCATGGAAAAAAGTTCTTAGATGTACCTCTCCATAGACACAACAGCAGTACAATTTAGGAGCATTAGGAGACATTCTCATTGCTCCTTTGCATTTTATAAGATTTTTTTTTTTTTTACAATAGAGTATCTTCCAATATTGTTCTTTTAAAGTATAGGTGTTGGGAAGACAATTGGGAGCCTGAATGCTGTGTAAGCTTGAAAGCCTGAGTCAATTCCCAGCACCCACACTAGAATCTGGCCATAATGCTGTGCATTTCTAATCCCAGTGTTGGGGAGGGGAGACAGATCCCTAGATCTCACAGGTCAGCTACCTGGCAGAGTCAGTGAGCTCCAGGTTCACTGAGAGATGCTGTCTCAGAAAAATAAGGCAAAGAGTGATTGAAAAAGACATTCAGAATTAACCTCTGCTCCCCCCATATACATGATGCCCATGTACCATGCACATACATGTGCCTACATGCACATACAACAAAACACACACACACACACACACACACACACACACACACACACACACACACACACAGAATATTTGGTAGTTGGCAATCATAAGCATAGTAGCAAGTTCTTAGGTATGATTTTTTTTTTTAAATCTATGGTAAATTTCTTCCTTTGTGAAAAAAATGTTGAAAAGTGGGCAGAATTATTATAAACAATTATCTCCAAGCACAAGAAAATGACCAAAGGCAGAAAACAAATGGAGGCTATTTACGACAAACTTATTGGTCTGCTGGAACACTGCTGTCCTTCTTCCCCGGGCAAGCCGCCAAGCCCATAATCTAGAGGACACAGATTCGTTTCTGTAAGAGGCAAACCTGTGTCTCTCCAGCAAGAGGTGACAAATTCCACTGAGTGCGAGGGTACGGGTACGGAGCTTGGAGCTTCAGCAGACAATACCTCCTGTTTCAGCTCAAGGCAGACGAAAAGCAGCTCGACTCCTCACGTGGTTCTGGATAACTGCATGGGGGACATCTCGGAACACCTGCCAGCAGGTGGAGACTGAAGGAGACTTAAGAGTTTGCAGGGCAACAACAGGCTATCCAAGAAGAGTCCCAGCGCAGCGCAGGCCCAGCATCAATAGTGCAACAGAAAACAGAGGCCTTGAACCCGACCAATGATGCCTTGTTTGCAATGAACACTTGCAAATGAATATACATAGACAGAGGGGTTTACCGCGTGACTCACTGTGTCACACTGCAGCTTCCATGATGAGATATTTTATCTGTTCCTTTTTTTCTCTTAAATTTTTTTTGGGGGGGTTGCAGGGGCGAAGGGTGGAGGGCAGATACAAAGGGATGAGGTAATGAGTGGGATCAAGATGCATGATATGAAAGACACACAGAATGAATAAAAAAGAAAGATTAAAAAAAGAAAGCATTTGCGGGGCATAATTGCTCACACCTGTAGTCCCAGATGGCTCACACCTGTAGTCCCAGCACTTGGGAGACTGAGGCAGGAGGATCATTGAAAATTTGAGGCAATCCAAGACTGCATAATGAGTTCAAGGCTAGGCTGAATTACAGGCAGAGACATTTTCACAAACAAACATAAATTAATCATAAAAACAAACAAAACCCATCACACTCCAGAAGAATTTCCTCAACAGAGCTGAACAATGCAGGGTTAAAGTTTTATGGGCTCAGAATATCTGAATCTGACTGCTGATGCTTAATCGCTGGGCCTCTACACTACACAGGCATGGGGACCTTTGGTAATGAGGGTAAATCAAGTAATCATCAATCTGAGAAAGACATCAGAAGCTGAATATTAGGGCACAGCTAATTCCCTACTTAAGTATGGACAATTTACTAAAATGTAAAGTAATGCTTGAAAATATTGAAACTGAGAATATTTATTACAGTCTATTAGCTACACTGTCCAATTTTCAATTTAAAAATTTCCATCATTTGAATATACAAGAAGCAACTCATTCTTAAAAAGTCAGTAGGATTGTAGGAGCCAGAGGGGTCAAGGGCACCACAAGAAAACCCACAGAATCAACTAACCTTGACTCGAAGGGGCTCACAGAGACTGAGCCACCAACCAGGGAGCCTGCATGGGACTGACTTAGGCCTTCTGCATATATGTTACAGTTATGTAGCTTGGTCTTCTTGTGGGACTTCAAAATGTAGGAGCAGGGGCTGTCTCTGACTGTTACTTGCTTCTGGGACCCTTTTCTCCTACCTGGTTGCCTCATCCAGCCTTGATAGGATAGGAGGTGCCTAGTCTCACAGCTATGAAATGCCATAGCTGGTTGATCTCCATGGGAGGCCTGCCCTCCCCCCCCACCCACGAGAAATGGAGGAGGAGTGGCTGGGGGGTGGGGTGGGAAGAAGGAACTGGGAGGAGACAAGGGAGGGGGAACTGCAATTGAGATGTAAAAATAAACAAGCAAAATAAATAAATACAAAAAAAATGTTTCCATTTAATACATTAAAAAAACAGTCAGTGGGAACTGAGTCCAAGTAGGCTCAGACGCTGGATTTTAGGATTAAAAGATGTCAAAGTAAACACCTTCCAAGAGTTTGTGGGAAATATGCTAACAACCCATCTTCAAACTAGCAACAGTAGAAAAACAGACACTACAAATAATACCAAATGGAAATTCTATAGCTTGAAAAAAGTCAATAGCTGAAATTTCAAATTCGTGAGATGAATTCAACTTCAGATTGGTGATCTCAGAAGAAGGAAAACGTGAGTTCGAGTGCTGGAGCAACGGATTATCTAACTAGTCCCAAAGGAACACAAGCAAATAGAAAAGGATGAGAGGGCTGGGGAGAGGGCTCAGTGGATAAAGGCACTTGCCACCAAGCCTGACCATTTGAGTTTCATTCCCAGGACCTACATGGTAGAAGAGAACTGACTCCTACATGTTGTCCTGTGTCCTTCACTAGTATGATGTGACAATCAATCATGGGCCTCTCTCCAGTAAATGAATGTTACAAAAAAATTAAGACGTGAAAGAAAATGGGAAACATTACACATATAGCAGAGGAGATCCTAAACAGTTTAGGAGAAATGATGCCACACTTTTCCAATATAGTAAAACTGTTCCTATATAATAAGCTGAGACATCCAACTAACAAGCTGACTGAATGCAAAGAGAACCACACTAAGAAATATCATAGCCAAACTTCAGAAAAACAGATAAAATTTTGAAAATGGAAAGAGAATAATTACAAACCACATACAGTTAATATATATATGTAATAGCTTACAATGTATGAAAATTAATGAAGTCCAGACAGTAAGAGATTGGTATACTCAAGCTGCTAAAGAAAAAAAGACTATTTAGTATTTCAAGACCCAACAAATCTTACCTGGAAAGTAAAGAGGAAGTACATTTTCAGACCAATGAAGATGTACATGAATAATTTCTACTAAAAGGTGTTACAAAAACTATTTTTTAAAATATTTAAGTGTGTGTGTGTGTGTTTATATGGGTATGTGTTGTGGAATATTATTTTAACTGGGCAAAGATGTGTTACATTTGTTTATGCTGCAGAATATTTAACTGTGTAAAGATGTGTTACTTTTATTTATGCTGTATTTGTTTAACAATGTAAGGGTGAGTGTTTTATTATGTAAAGATGTGTTACATTGGTTTCACCTTGCCTGCCTAAGGCACCTGATTGGTCTAATAAAAAGCTGATTGGATAATATATAGGGGGAGAAAGGATAGGTGTGGCTGCCAGGCAGAGAGAATAAATAGGAGAAATCTAGCTCAAGAAAAAAAAAAGGAGCAAGGAAAGAAGAAAGGAGAGAATGAGGAGCACACCCGGGGCCAGAAGCTGGGCAGATGCCAACCACCCAGACATGAGAAGCGGTCAAAGTAAGATATACAGAAGTAAGACAGGTAATGAGCCCTGAGGCCAAAGGCAGACAAAGGGAAACAGGTTAATTTTAGTTAAAAGAGCTGGCCAGAAATGTGCCTAAGTGAGGCTGAACATTCAAAACTAATAAGAAGTCTCTGTGTCATGATTTGGGAGCTGGTTGGTGGCCTAAAAGAAAAAGCCTGGTACAGGTTTGTGCACACTGGTGCCGATGTCCTCAGAGGCTGAAGGCCTTGGGTCCCTTGAAGCTGGAGTTACTGGTGGCTAGGAGCTGCCTGTCGTAGTGTGTCCTTCGGAAGAACAACAGGTGCTCTTAACTGCTGAACCACCTCTCCAGTCCTGCTTTGCATGGTCCTTATCATAAAGGGAAACGTTGTGTTACTATACATTTTTCCTTCCTTCCTACTGTGTGTGTTTCACGAGGGCCATCGAAACACCTACCTACTACTAAATCATCTCATCACAGGACTACATGAAGCCACCTTCACCCAGAATAGCCTCTTAACTTCTCCAGGACACTGGTTCAAAATGGCCTGTTTTATTAGGAACATACACATCGACATGGTTAAGTTTCTAAAAGGAAACCACCAACTAATCACCCTCAGTAGCAAACTGTCTGTGGTAGGAAAGAAATGTGAGAGAAGGGGGTATGAGCTGAGAGAAAACAGGTGTGTGCTGGTAGGAAGCAGGTATGTGCTGAGAGAAAACAGGTATGAGCTGAGAGAAAACAGGTCTGAGCTGAGAGGAAGCTGGTGCATCCTGAGAGGAAGTGGATATGTACTGATGGCAGACCCATCTGGCAGGAGGAGACCAGTGCAATAGTTGATAGTTTCCAGAGCAGCTCAGGCCAGAAAAGAAACCTTACTTGATAGATTAATTGGTACTGAATATAAGCTTTCATCTGGTGATACTGTCCTGCTAGCTGCCAGGGAAGTGAAATTACCCATGAAATGAGTTTGAGGGATTTTTTTTTTCTGTCTGAAAATTTAAGTCACCTGATTAAAATAAAGCATAATTGAAACAGGATATTGAGATTGTGAATCCCTGCCTCTGGGGCTCTGAATTTGCTGTGAGAGACCCTTGCCTCACATTTCTTTCCTACCCCAGACAGTTTGCTACTGAGGGTGATTAGTTGGTGGTGGGCTCGTGGTTTGTTGATGTATTTATTTTATAACCTGTCTATCAGAAGGCAAGTACCACAGGACAGATCACCTCACTTGTTCTTCACTGTTCTAGAACCTATAATGGTCATGGGAGGTGGGATAGGGGCTGTAAAGATTAGCTTTTTAATTCTCTATCAGGTTTCTGATGCAGCCATATGTCTGAAATCATCGAAGTCAGCCACCCCTCAGCTCCATATAACTTCTCTGCCATCTTTTCTGATGTGTGAATTAGTTGTAGTGTTGGCTGGAGTACCAAGGAGACCCCTGCACACAGAGATGCTGGAGGAGTTCATTTCTTTCTTCACAAGGGAGCAGAGGGTGCTGGCAATTCACCTCAGGCAGACAGATCTGCTGCACAAAATCATTCAGGGGTCCACATTCTCCTCATCGGTTCCTTTGATGTTCATCAAAACCCTGCCCCCATGTCCTTGACTGAAGGTGAGCCACTGCCAGATCCACATTCAAGTTCATGGAAACTGGGAAATAAGAGGGTGTCTTAGGGTTTCCATTGCTGTGAAGAGACACCATGACCATGGCATCTCTTGTAAAGGAAAACATTTCATTGGGGCTGGCTTACAGTTTCAGAGATTTAGTCTGTTATCATCATGGCAGGAAGCATGGCAGCATTCAGGCAGACATGGTGCTGAGGAGCTGAGAGTTCTACATCTTGATCCCCAGGCAACAGGAAGTGAACTGTCCCACATTGAGTTTATATAGCTTGAGCGTATATGAGACCTCAAAGCCTGACCCCCACCCAGTCACACACTTCCTCAACAAGGCCACACCTACTCCAATAAGGCCACACCTCCTAATAGTGCCACCCCCTATGGGCCAAGCATTCAAACACATGAGTCTATGAGGGCATTCAAAGGGAAGGGGAGGGTGCACACTCATCTAGTACTTATATATATATATATTCCTTTGTTCTCACAATCTGCTGTCTCGACCTCAGTCACGTGGCCATACCAACCTGCAAAGGGGCCTAGAAAATGTAGTACCTACGTTAGTGGCCACTAATGTTAGTTTGTGGCTTCTTTTACTAAAAGAAAACAGGAGGAAATGGGTGCAGGGGACATTTGTCTGTTGCTACATCTTAGGAGCCTTGACCGTAGTTGGTCATTGTCTTCTTGAAATACTTGTGATTCCTTGCCTTCATGACCCAATACTCTCTTGTTTTCCAATATGGCTCCCATTGGGAAAATGCCCACTATCTCTGGAGTGTTTAAAGATCAGAACAGTGTGATGAAAGACTCTTATTTCCAGTGTTACTCAAAAGCTTATCCCAACCACTTTCAATATGAAACCTACCTTTGTCTTCAGGAGTAACAGTGAAGCATCATATTCCCATTTGATCAATGTCTTCAGACGTATCCAGGAGAGCATGGTATAGTGATTCTTAATCCGGATTTGGGATCTCCTAGAGGCCATGGATAAGCTGAAATCATTTTTTAAACTTGTGTGCATTTTTGTGTGAGAGGCTGAGTCCATAGATTGGTCAGATTCTCCAGGGACTCAGTGGTCCAAATAAATGTCACCATATTATAGAAAAACATTAGTGATAGATTTGCAAGATTGGTGTCTGAATTCTGATCTTGCCACTTGCAAGCAATACTCTTTGTACAGGTTTTGTGACTTATTTGGATTCTGGTTTCTTCATCCAAAAAGTGTTCTTTTGTATTCTTGCATACATGTATCAACACCTTTTTGTTTGTTTGTTTTTTGTTTTTCGAGACAGGGTCTCTCTGTGTAGCTTTGCACCTTTCCTGGAACTCACTCTGTAGCCCAGGCTGGCCTCGAACTCACAGAGATCCACCTGCCTCTGCCTCCCGAGTGCTAGAATTAAGGGCATGCGCCACCATCACCGGGCAACACCTTTTTTTTTTTTTTTTTAAATGTGTTTTAACAGGCCAATAAGATAGCTCAACCAGTTAAGGCGCTTGCCACCAACTCTAACAACCTGAGTTCCACACGTGGGACCTCGTGGAAGGAGAAACCCAGCTCCCATAAGCAGTCTTTTGATTTCTATGTATGCTGCTCCGCAGCACACTGCAAACACACACACACACACACACACACACACACATACACACATACACACACACACACACACATACACACACACACACACACACATACACACATACACACACACACACACACACACATACACACACACACACACACACACACACCCCAAATGTAGTAAGAATGTTTTTAGGTGCATCTCGTCTTTGCCGAAGCAACCGCGTTACTGCACCACATACTAAAAACAGCACATTCCTCAGTACACTCAAGGCTCTTGTTCGTGATTGCGGCATACTCACGACACTTCGCTATGGTACTTTTTTGTCACCAAATAAGTTCTGGATCAGGACCAGTGATTCTTCTGCTCCCTAAATCACCCATTCTTCTTCCAGAGTCTGTATTGCTGTCATTTATCAGCTCGGTGCCCCTGGGTGATTTCTTAGATCACTTTCCCTCAAGTACCATATAGAAGTGTAGCTAGGTGTCTGTGTGGCTCCCTTTCCAGGGTCCCATCCTAGGTCAGACAAAAGCTCTATGAGTCAGGGAGTGTGCGCCTTAGCGTATATTCTTGACAGAAATGAAAACCCAAGTGTAAAGAGGAGGAGTAGCTGGCTTTACGCCAAAAGGTTAGTAATTTGCCGAGCCAGAAGATTATATTTCAAGCTGTAATCTCTTGCTAAATTTTCTATTAGGATGACCTTGGCGATCTTGACTAGACCTCCCGATGAGAGAGCTTTCTCTCATTTTCACAGTTCAGTATTTGGCTGTTCTTCAAAAAGTTATTTCAAAGTTCTTTGCAAAGCACGAGCCATATTTTTCTCTAAGAGGACAGGGAGGTCTGTGACATGCCCATTGAACAAGGACTAATGACGTTGTTAGGAAGGGAAGAGAGAGGACATCACCTCTCTATTGATTCCAGCTCACAGGCATTAGCAGCAGACAGTGTCCTCTGCAGTGGGAAGAGGGCTCCCTTCATGTTCCATATTGGTAAGGACCTTGGGATGAGGAATTGAGGCAGCTCTGTAGGTACACGGCCTGCTAAGATGCAACTGGAAATAACTTGAGCGCAACTGGAAACTATTTGGCTCTTTGAAGTGGTTTATACCAAGGATCTGTTTCATTGTGCCAGAAATAGAAGCAATACTGAGACAGTTTCCTACAAAGCCTTTTAAGTGGTTGATAACATCACCCTGGTTAGTTTTAGAGACCAAATGCGAAGTGTAAATGTTGCCATTTCTTTTCTAAAAGCTATGTGTACAGCGTGTGTATATATCCGTGTGTACCACGATGAGTGCATGGTCCATGGAGAGCATACGAAGGTCAGGGGACAACCTCAGTTTGTCTTCAGCTTCCACCTTGTTTGAGGCAGGATCTCTTGTTGATTTCCTCTGAGAATGCCAGGCTACCTGGCTTGTGAACTTTGAGGGAGTCTCTCGTGTCCACCCTGGATGTCCTCGTAGGAATGCTAGGGTGCTAAATGGATGCTACCACATACAGCTTTATATGGATTCTGGGGATTTGAACTCAGTTCTTCATGCTTGCATGACCAGAACATTACTCACTGAGCTATCTTTCTAGCCCCTCCTCACTTATTCCCGCCCCCCCCACCATGCTTTTTTCTTTGTAGTGGTACTGTAAACTGAACCAAGGGCTTTGTGATGGTTTTGTCAACCCGACAGACTCTAAAATCGCCTGGGAGATGGGTCTCTAGGGAATTATCTTGATTACGTTAAGAAGACTCATCATAATAGTGGGCTGGTTCACTCCACCAGCATGTGATCCTGGATTGGATACCCTGGAGCTGATACAAGCATGCAGGCAATCATCCCTGTCTGCTTCCTGATTCGGATACAATGTGCCCAGATGTTTCAAACCCTTGCTGCAGCTGCCTTGACTTTTCTGCCCTGAGCTGTAAAACAAGCCCCTTCCCCTTCAAGCTGCTTTTGTTAGAGTATTTTATCATATCTGCGGTAAAAACAGAAACAAAACTTAAAGCAGCCTTCCCTCGTACATTCAGGGTGAGTGCTTGACGACTGAGCAGTATCCCTAGTCTAAAATTATGGTGTTTAAGTGTCCTCTGGTCACATAACAGCTTTAAGAAACTTTGGGGCATGGGGTTGGGGTTGGGGGCAGAAACTGAAAGCCCGAGACTATTTCCAGTGTGTTTCTCCCTCAACCCCCACCCCAACCCAGAGTAACTTTCCAGTGGCTTTCTACTGTGGTTTGGGTGTGTTCTAGTCCCTCCAAGTCTGTTTTCATTTGGTTGCTATAGTGCTGGTGTTGGGGGGTGGGCCTCTAATAGCTGACTAGTTGGCTTGGAGGGATTGGTGTCTTTCTCTTGGGAGTGAGTCTCATTCTCCAGGGACTAGGTTAGCTACCACAAGAGCAGGCCCTCTCCTTTCTTGCATCTTTTTCCTCTGTTCTAGCCTTGGTCTACTGACCACATAGCTCACCTACTCTGTCCATTAGCATTGCCGCATAATAGTTCTGGCTTTCTCTGAAAAAAAAAAAAAATCAAATTAGTCTTCAGAGTGTGAGGGAACATTTCATTCAAGGAGCTGCCAACACTAAAAGAATTGCAGAAACACAAAGCCACAGGCCCATGATGAAGTTAATGTTGTTTGAACAATTTCCTTGAATGCCTTTCCTGGTGGTTGGTGCCCCCCCCCCCCCCCCCGCCCCGGCATTATTTTCTTAATCCTGACAGGGAAACCACTTCTGGTTTATGGACCCTGAGGTAGAAAAAGGGAAAAAGAAAAAAATTAAGTTTGTGATACACGCTAGTTTTCACCATTACACTCTGGGTCTCAGCCCTGGACATGATATTCTAAAATCATCGGAGTAATCTGTAAGCTACTACGGGCTGGATGTTTGTGTCCCTCCCAAATTCATACGTTGGGAGCCTGTGATCATGGGATAGAATGTGAAGATGAGGCCTTTGGGAGATGATTTAGTTATGGGGTTGGGGCCTTCAGGACTGGAGTTCATGTGCTTGTGAGAAAGACCAAAGTCCCTTCCTTCTTCATGGTGTGGGGACAGAAGCCTGGGACATGGTTCTTCATGAGGATCTGCCAGTGCTTCATCTTGGACTTCAATGATGCACAGGTGGGAAAAAAAAGGGGAATGTTTGTTTTTTAGCCACCTGATCTGTGGCATTTTTACTATGATAGCCAAAAATAAGACAGGAGCATTCCTACCACAGTGGGGCTTGTTTGCATCTAGAACTAATGGGCGATTCATTAGGATCCCTGAAGAATTGCTCTAGTGCCAATGGGCCAGAGGTTAGAAGTGGCTCAGGAAGGAATCTAAGCTATTAAGGGCATGAGATGGTCTTTCAGTACATCTTAGGCAAGTAGATACCCCCAAACCAGAAGTCCCTAGCCCTCAAGGTGAAGGTGGCTTATTCAGATTTGGTGGGCACTTCATGCTGGCTGAGGAGATTTCAATCAGATGGGTCTAAGTTAGAAGCCACACCAGTAACAATCAGACAGTAAATGCAGTTTCCCTGCTGTGGACTTCAAGGCTGAAATCCCCAGGGCATTCATGAAACTATGTGAGTGAGCCACACAGCGCCCTCTCCTGCCTTGGTGAGGTACTTTCACCTGCATCTAAAAGAAACCACTGTGGGTGGGAAAAGGGGGTATCAGTTTACATCTCAATCTGACTGAAGACTAATCCCAATAGTACTCAGTGGGGAAAGATTTTTTTCCCCCGACTGGAAGCAGCAGAGCTAGATGAATTCCTGGCTTTCTAATCCTCTCCTCAGGAGGGAGTGGGGTTTGCAGGCAACCAGTTTCAGGAAAAAAGGAAAGTTTTGTATTTTAAGCGGGGGTCTTGGGGTTAAAACAAATACCACCATTGGAAAGGAACAGCACTCATTTAGATTAATGTTTTTAAAATGCATCCAATTCCTTTATTTTCATGCTATTTAGGCAAGGCATCCAAGTCAATCAAACCACCAATCCGATAGAGGCCAAAACATCTTTGTGACAAATGAATATATTGGAATTCATTTCTGCACCCAGCTGCATGAAAAGCACCAGGCATATTTCGTGATGGGCCAGCAACACTGCTTAATGTGAGGTGCATCCAGAGAGAGAATGACTCTGTGAGTTACTAGAACTGGTCTTTGGAGACCTCCTGTGAGGTCCCACTTCCAGGGCTTTTCTTTTTCCCACCCTGGCAGCCTGATATCTTCCTTCCTCTGTGCTCTGTGCAGCAATAAGATCAGCGTAATGGCCATGCAAGGAGACCCCCACCACAACTGCAGAGTCACAGCACTCCTGGCCTGAAAAGACTGCCAATCCAATGACTTCCTTTACACACTACTTAGCTGGGCAAGGTAGTGCATCTGCAGTTTCAAATGCTCAGGAGACTGAGGCAGGAGGATCA